ATTGAGGAAAGAACATCTAAAAAGGGACAGAGATTCCACTTATAGTAATATTCTTTTTATAATGATTCTCATATTGAAGGAAATGGCAAAACTCGGCTAACATATCCTAATTATTTAAAATACTCAAAATAAAATAAATGTTTTATAGTGAAAGCAAATTAGAAGCCAGTCAATCAAGAAAGAACAAAAATAGATCATCTCCAACAGTTTTCTATTCTCATGGAAAATATAAATGTGAAATTTGAAGGCATGTAGAGAGGATGAGAGTGAAACTATCAGGAGATTTTTCTCAACAACAACAAAAACAACAAGAAAATAGTAAGTTATCTTGAGAGAGTCAATAGTGTGTGACCTTTGCCAGGTGAGATCCTCCTGGAGACTTTCAGCCATGATTTTGGTTCAAGAAGACAGTCTTGAAATGAATCTAGAAACATGGCAGAGGAAAACTCACTTGGAATATTTGGTATTATAAGCATTATGAAGTAATTCTCTATCTGACTTCAGGTTATTACTGACCTTGAAAAAATAATGTATAAATCCCCAACACCATGGAGGTTACCTCTCCATTCAACTGTCCTTTATATTAACATCAGAAATATCTATCTGCAGAATTTCAGGTGTTCTTGAAGAAGATTTGGGAAGGATGAAAGAGGTCAGATGACTTGGGATGTGAGGCCATTAGGGGGCACCTTTACACTGGTCATGAGAAGGCCTGGCTCTGGTCCAGTTCACAGAGGACAATACTTTACAAGCCTTTAAACAACTAAAAAAGCAGTATTCTTTTAAGAGTTTGTTCTAATTAGTTATATATGACCGCAGATTACGTTTTGACATATTTTGTACACAATGGAGCACAACTTATCATTCCTTTGTCTGTATACAATGCAGAATCACACCAGTTGGTTGTGCAATCATATATGTACATAGTGTCATAATTAGTGATGAATCCACTGAAAAAGGTAGGAAATATATCCCATTTACAATAGCCCCAAGAAATAAAATAAAATACTTGGGAATCAATCTAATGATAGAAGTGAAAGAGCTCTACAATGAAAATTACAGAACACTAAAGAAAGAAATTGAAGAGAACCTTAGAAGATGGAAATATCTTCCATGTTCTTGGATAGGTAGAATTAATATTATCAAAATGGCCATACTACCAAAAGCCTTACAGATTTAATGCAATTGCTATTAAAATCCCAATGACATTTTTTTTGTAAAACTAGAAAAAAGCAAATTTATTTGTAAAAAACAAGAGATCCAGAACAGCCAAAGTAATCCTTAGCAAGATTAAAGCAGGAAGCATCACAATACCAGATCTTAAACTATACTACGGAGCTATAGTAACAAAAATGCCGTGGTGTTGGCACCAAAATAGACATGCAGACCAATGGTACAGAATAGAAGACACAGAGAAAAACCTACCTACCTAAACATAGTTATTGCATTCTAGACAAAGGCACTAAAAGCAGTATTCTTTATGAATTATTATGTCCTTGATTCTGTCCCCTCTAAATCAACATAAGCTACCTTCACTCTTGTTTCCTATTTCAATTTTCATGCTTATGTTGTTGTTCAGGCCTGAGTTTCAGGGAGATATAGAAGGATAATTATATAGAGGGAATGCATTCATGCAAAGGAACTTGATCTAAAATGCATCAYGTGAATAGTGTAAGAAAAACTTGGAGATGGAATCACCTTAATTTGAATAATTTTGCTTTAGTAAATGGAACTCTATGGGTTTCTCCAACATGACCAAAATATCTCTTCTCTTTATAATCCTTGCTTATTAAATAAACACTTCTCTGGGAAAATAATGAATGATTCTTGAAGCACATTTCCACTGCCATTCACTCCTGTCTCCAGAACATGGGTAGCTGTTTCCATTACCTCTATTACCCTGTAGATCTTCTGCAGGAATCATGTGTTGAGCTTCATCCACAGAATCTAAGTCTTTGGATAAAACTTTACATATTTTGCTGTACCAGCAGTATTATGACACCCACTTGAACAAGAAAATAACATATTTGAATATTAGAAATTAATCTCCTTAATAACATAGCAAATATTTGTTAAAATATTGGGAAGTTGTAATATATTTAAATTTTCATTTTTTCCTTCCTGAATTTTATTTTATATTGATAAAGATTTACCTTGCCCATCTATCATGTTATGGATTGAGACATTTGCAAAGTTTCTGGCGGATGGTGAGCAGGATATGTGCAGAAGGAGAGAACTGAAAAAATATGAACTATATGTCAGATGCTCAAGTTTGGAAGAGAACCTCTGAGTTCTCAGTGCTGGTTATGTGAAAACGTATGAGAGAAAATGATGGAGCAACTGACAATACAGCCAGCCATGGCAGTAAATATCAGTGTGGTCCTTCAAATTACAATGTATAGTTTAAAAGAAGATTATGACTGTGTTAAGAGCATCATCCAGTGACTACTAGAACCACTCCTCTCTGCTTCTTTTGCATTGTGATGGATTCCCAGTTCCTTGGGTACTCTTTCAATAAGCATATTCTCAAGCCCTCCATTTAGCACTGACTCCTAATCACCACCCAGATATCACTAAAGAATCAGAACTGTTGCTGAGGTATGTTGAAGGTGTAAGAGACAACACATGGGGTTGTCTCAGAAGATTCTTCCAGAATCCATGCTGTTAATTATGATATTCCAATTCATTTATCATGAGAATATCTGTAATAATCTATAATATCTGTAATATTCTTAATGTGCAATATTTGTGAAGAAAATATTTTCCTGTTTTTTTATTTGTCATTGATGTCAGACTTTAAAGTGACTTAGAGAAGCTGTTACATATAATTTGAAATTTTTCAGTCATTTTTATATTCATTTATTTTCTTGATACTATTATTTAATCTCATTTTTTGATATATCTAAACCTAAATATTTTTTCTAATATCAAAGGAATGCATTTTCCTAAAACACAGAATGTAATCCATAAATATTTGGATCTGAGTTGAGAGTCTATAAGGCAAATGATAGGAAAAACTATAAGCATGAAAAAATATTAAATAGAAAATTTATCAACAATCCAGGAATTAATATAAGGTTTTCTTTTATACTTTGATAGGCAAGATCTCACTGCTTATTTTTCACCAGTAATAGGAAAAATTGTCTCTCCAAAATTCTTCTTGACAACTAGATAAAATTTTCATTCCTCCTTTAGTTAACCTTAAGTTTTTTTTTTTTTTTTGTAATTGAATACTTATAAACTATTACTTATAATTGACTATCACAAATCATACCTAGTGGTCACCTAAAATAAAGTATAGTTGGCGTCCCAAACCGGAGTGGCCTTCTCTATGTCACTCCTTCACCAGGTTCCCCTCTGCTGTTGATGGTGATAATTTTAAGACTCAATATGTGGGAGAATCCCTGTCCCTTCACAATCCAGTCAGGGACTATCTGATTTCCCTGTGGGCTCACTTCTGGAGGGCTGAAGTCCCAGTAATCACCCATAGAGGGAGGAAGTGAGTTCACTGGGGAGCAGTGTGGCCCAAGCACCTGCCTAATGATCTGCAGCTCTGCTGTTGTTAGTGCTTCATTTTGCAGGTGTTTCTGTGCCTACAATGTGGGTGAGCCCTCCCTTCTTCCACTTTTAGTTTTCATTTCTCAGAAAGAGCTAAGCTGAGGTTAAAGGAGAGGTCTGCACAGCCTCCAGAAAGGGAGAGATTTGCATAGAGACATCCCACTTGTAGGATCACAAGGACAGATAAGAAGGGTTGGTGGGCTCAGTTCTGGTTGAGGGCTCAGGAAGCAGAGCCTGGGGGCATTGTTACCATGGCCTGGGCTCATGTTCTGTTCACATTCCTCATTCACTGCACAGGTGGCTGTCTACAGGGGATTCTTGAGGGCACCTGGGCTGTCACCTAGGATGATATCTTCTTATCCCTTCCTGGGAAGGAGGATCTGGTCTGAACTCACTGATTTCTATGTTACTTTCTTCTTCCAGGSTCTTGGGCCCAGTTTGAATTGACTCAGCCTCACTCTGTGTCGGCATCTCCAGGGAAGACAATCACCATCTCCTGTACACGCAGCAGTGACAATATTGGGAGTTACTATGTGCACTGGTACCAACAGCGTCAGGGCAGTGCTCCCAGCACTGTGATCTATGAAGATGATCTAAGACCCTCTGGGGTCCCTGATCGGTTCTCAGGATCCATTGACAGTTCCTCCAACACAGCCTCCCTGTCTATCTCTGGTCTGCAGATTGAGGATGAGGCTGACTACTACTGTCAGTCTTATGATAGCAACGATAATCACACAGTGCTCCAGACACATGGGGAAATGAGACAAAAAATCCCCAGAGTGTCCTCAGCCTGAATTAACTGCTAAAATGTTCCAACAGTGAAGATTGCTTCCTGCTGCCTCCTCTTTGAATGTTGGGGTTGGAATTGTCTTCTCTGTTTCTTCAAAACATCTTGATGACTTATCTTCTCCTACATTCAATATCAATCCATGGAAAACAAGTATCTTAAAACATGGATTGTGAACTACAATTCTATTGATAATTTTTGTTGGGAACTGTCCTGCACATGATAAAATGTTCAGCAGCATCACTATCCTATAAACACTCAATTCTATTAACATTCTTCTCTCAATTTTTACAATAAAATAGTTCTGAATAGTGCCAACAGTTTCCCTCCAGGAAGCAAATGTAGCATTGATTGGGACCACTCAGTTCAAGAGCTTGCCCATAGTTATATGAAACTGGTGACTTTGAATCTTGGTTATGCCATTCACTGGTCAAATGGGTAGGTTTTTATCTCTGAGCTTTTGGTCCCCACCTGTAGAAGAAATTAATAAGACAAAATTCAAAAGAATATTCTGATAATTGAATAGTGTTCTAAGTAACATGAGAATAGATTCTATGCTAATTAATGGTATAGAAGCCCCAAGGAGGGTGTAAGATGTAGTATATATCCCAGACTAGGTGTTCTCATAATATTTTTAATATTTGTAAATGCACATGGTAATGAACTGGAACCATTCATTCAAGTGGTATAAAAGCTATGAAGAATGTGCTACCACATGGATTAACTTGAAAATTCATGCTGGGTCACAGTTCACCATAGCTAAACTGTGAAGCCAACCTAGATGCCCTTCAGGAGAGGAATGAATAAAAAAATGTGGCATATATACAGAATGGAATTTTACTCAGCAATAAAAGAGGATAAAATCATGGCATTTGGAGGTAAATTGATGGCATTGGAGGAGATAATGCTAAGTGAAATTAGCCAATCCCAAAAAACAAATGCTTAATGTTTTCTCTGATATAAGGAGGCTGATTCATAGTGGGGTAGGGAGCATGGGAGGAAAGATGAAGTCTACATAGGGAAGAGGGGTAGGAGGAAAAGATAGGGTGCAGAGGGTTAGCAAGTATTATGGAAAGTGATAGACATAATTTCCAAAGTACATATATGAAGACATAAATTGGTGTCAACATACTTTATATACAAGACGAGATATGAAAAATTGTGCTGTGTATGTGTAATAAGAATTGTAATGCATTCCGCTGACATTTGTTTTTTAAAAAATCATTAAAAAAAGAAAATTTATGCTGGGAGTAAATGAACACAAAAGATCATACATTGTATGTTTGAATTGATAAAAAATATCTAAAATGTTTAAATATTTAAAGGGAGAAAATAGGGAGTATACTCAAAATCTTTCACAACTGAGGGCTAGAGGGATGACTACAATAATGGGAAAGAGAACTATTTGAAAAAGTAAAATAGGTTGAGAATAGCTTCAATAAAGGTTGGTGGTTTCTCAGTTTCTTGGTGGCATGAAGTCCACTAAGTGCAGCTGAGGTGTTTGTAAGAGTCACTATTTTTTTTTTTTTGAAATAAACTGAAGAGAACAAGGTGTTTGGTGCTGGTTTTATGAAGTCACCTACAGACTGGAATGACAGCCTCTGTGATCCCCTTCACCTCCTCAATCATCAGCATCTTATGAAATTTACAGAACCCCAAATGAACACCCATGAGATCCTCAGTTGAGGCTGATTCATATCCTCATGTAGCATAAAAGGACATGAGGCCAGTAGGGGTTATTTGAACCATTCTCAGAGAGGGACTCTGACCATGCTTGCTGGAAAGCCCCTCGAAAATATGGAAGATAGTTGAGGAAACAGTGAGTTCCTTCTTTGTTTGGAGGTGATCACAGCTGCCAGGTCCTCCCAGGACTCAAGACCATTGATGAAAAGTTTTGTTCATTCTAAAAACATGATTTAGGAAAATTCTCATCTTCTTCTTCATCAGGGATGCAAAAATGATCAGGAAGGAAAAAATATTTGAATGTAGGAGATTCTCCTTCACTGGGTCTTTTGGAGAATTAAATGGAATCCTACTCCATGCTGGAGTATCAAGGGGCTGACTTCTGGAGCCCTTGCCACATCACCTGCTTCTTTCTTCATCCTCCTCCTCCTCCATCTTTGCACAGTTGGGGCCTGCTCTGTCTGAGGTGGAGGACTCAATGCAGGGACCTAGCCCTTCCACTCATGCRTATCATTGTTTTCTCTGTGTCTCCCCTCTGGGATTTGAGGCCCAGGCAGGGAAGTCACTGAACCAGATCTCATGACAGAATACCACAATCACCTGCACTGAAATAGCAACATATTGTCAGAAAGGGCAYAGCTTGGTAGCTGCATCAGCTAGTATATTGTTCTCACACTCTTATTCCTCAGGAACAGCTTATATTCAGAGTTCTTAAAAAGATTCTTTGGCACCCAGTTTGTCAGTTTGCCCTCCCTAATTCTTGGTTCCAGTATGGAGATGGTGCTACTCATTTCCATTTATATTTGTCATTTTGAAATGACATTAAATCCCATGGTCTCCATCTCTCTTCACACTGTGAGCATAGTGATGCATTGGACCACAGGAAGATGTAGGCTGATCACCTGGCTGACAATATTGGAAGGAGGTCTTAGTTAATGGTGTCTTTGAAGCTCTGATCCCTAATGCAACTCAATAAATAGTAACAATTAGAATTGATTTTCTAACACACACACACACACACACACACACACACACAATACTAAACCTTGGTTTTTGAATTGCTGGTTTCTGGTTGGATTATAGGCAATAAATATATTGATTTAGAAAGATATTAAGAATAAGTATGCTTGTTTTCTGCTTTTTGTCCGTATTTT